TCTTATTCTCTGAAAGTTGACAGTACAGGTGTTTGTCTCTGTAATCACTCCCTGTCTAATGAAGGTTGAGAGATGAACTCATGCCTATTTTCCCACCAATAACATATTTCCAGCTATGTTAAAGACTACATTTCCCAGCCAGTTTTGTTATTGTGTGTGACCAATGTGACAAAACTCCTGCAAACAAATGATCAGTACCATGTTATCTTTTGTCTGTAATCACAGAACTCAGGAGGATGAGGTAGGAAGTTTTCCATAAGCTTGACACCAGCTCCACTTTGTAGTAAACATAGGGTTGTCAGGACTAGAGTGAGATCCTATTTCAAAACCAAAAATGTTCTCCCAAACAAAAATCAAACAACAAGAGCAGCCTAAGAATGAATGATGGTATTTCCTCATTCTATGATAATGAGAGCATAATGGATAGCCAGCCAACTAGGACTATGAGCTAGCAATGAGAGTGCAGTAGAAGGCTCTGACAGGGAGGGGACAGGGAAATTGAAATAGAGGTCTGTGACACAGTGGGGTATCTTATCAATTCTACTAAAATAAGAGAGGAAGTGAAATTCTTATGTTGTTTAAGGCATTGTTACTTTTTGTTTGTGTTTTTTCCAGGCATAATGAATTCTTACCAGGGATTACCTAATAGGTTAATTTTGATGATTGCATATATTACTACAACAGTAACAAAGTGCTTGATGTTACATGATGCAGTAAATGTCTAATCATTATAGTTCACCCTGGTAATAAAGAGAAATGGGGACAACCAACTTTGTGCAAGGATAATGTTAGCATATTCGGAGAGAGAGAGAGAGAGAGAGAGAGAGAGAGAGAGAGAGAGAGAGAGAGAGAGAGAGAGAGAGAGAGAGAGAGAGAGAGAGAGAGAGAGAGAGAGAGAGAGAGAGAGAGAGAGAGAGATCATTAGGTGCATTGCGGGACACAGGCTTCAGTCATATACTTTTGGGACAAATGTCAGAGTCCAAGGGAGTGGGAGGGCATGAAGTATCTGGACTGTACTGGCACATTCTGATGTAGTATTTCTATTGAAGACTAAGAGTATTAAGACAGAAGAGAACTGTGGCAGTGGTGGTGATGGCATGTCCAGCATCATTGCTGTTGCAGAAAACAGCAGTAACTTCTTTGAAGATCAACAGTGTATTATTTTTGAGGAGTGTGGTCCAGATCTAGCATTCAGAGATGATGTGGAAATAAGGTCTAAGGCAGGAGTTGCAAAACAACCCAAGGATCCATCCTCATCTAGTCTCCACTATGACTTGAACCAGAAATGATTTAGATGGGGCTAGATTTCCTCCAATTCTGCAAGTGGCAACTGAGCCACAGAAAGTCCATTTTGTCATTTCTTATGTGGGACTGCATTTTGTCCTAGGCACTCATAAATCCAGGACTGACAAACTCAGGAGTAGTGATGTAAGGCCGTAATATTTATACAGGCTTGTAATCTGTGATATGAAGGGCATGAAGAATAACCACTGTACTTCTACATCCTCTCTGGAGGCACCTTTCCTCCCTAGGGCAATTCATAAATGGTTCACTGAAGAGGGGCATTAGTATATAAATGTTTCATGCTTCCCAGATATTGATTTAATATTTGCTTTGTTGAGTTGTTTTTCAAATTTGTAACCTCCTGGTTCTTTTCAGTGACTAAACTTTAGACCATTAAGAGTTGCAATCTAATCTACCTCAAAGAAAATTCCTTAACATGCTGCAGTCTAGAGCGCTGAGTGGAAGAACTAGGAGATCCTCCTCCATCCTTTTCCCTTCTGCCTGTGAGTTAGGTGACTAGATGTCTGTTGGGGGTTGGGAGATGCCCCTGGTCTTATACTGGTTAGACTTACTTTTACCTAGTAACTTTTGCTACTGAGCTGCTCTCAGTATATACAGAAGGCACATGTGGCTTTCACAGGCATGTGAAATAGACAGACATATGTGTCCATAGTTACTGAGGGGCAGCCTGGTTTCTCTCAGTCATTCCCAGAAGTTGAGGTATCTAGCCTTTTTCTAAGTATGTCACTGTGACCACTCTCTCTGAATCTCCCTGGCTTTCCTTACAGACTATGTTACTCTGCATGAAGTCACAGAGCTACTGTGTCATTTTCCGAGGTCATCCAGGGCAGTAGGGATCTAGATTTGGAATTTTATCCTATTCTCCTCCTCTAAGTTCTGCTACACTACAGTTGTTTTATGTCCTTTTCGTGTCTTTGGCATTGGACCACGGTTACTAATTTGGAGGTAAAAGAAGATAGATTTTCCAGTCAACTCTGGTTTTTTGAATAGACTTTGAAACTAATTTAGGAGTGAGGAAGGATATTTGACTCACCTTATGGTAATGCTTCTAGTTAAGTTGAAGCTCAGCACAATACCAAAACCCTATACACACTTGAATGTCCCAGTTGAAATAACCAGGAAAATAACCCTTCATGGGTCATTAGTAGATCCATCCCTGATTAGGAAATCAAGCAGTCTCTCCTGCTGCACGAGGTGATACTGTGTTAAAGGGGTAACTGACATATTCTTAATAAATGTTCCATGTGTAATAAAGTGAATTATCATGCTGTATAAACTCTAGAAGGAAATTTTTCCTAACTTTTCACTGGATAGAAAGGCTTGTTTTATTAATATATTGAGTAGCAGCATTCTGTAAGCAACTCATACTTTTTAGATTTACTCCTGTTAAAGAATGCCATACTTAAGTGCTTGGAATTGACACTTGAGAATGAAATACTGGTGCAAATAATAGGGAAATTGTAGATGTATTTTATACCTTGCCTCACCAAATCAAAAGGTCTCATAAATACAGTCTCTAAAAGTGTCGGTGGGGGAGTTAACATAACTGTACAAGCAATAAGCCTGACCTTTCAATGTAATTTATTTTTGATTTGCTCAATCCTTTTTTTATTAAAACTAGCACATCTGAAGCAGAATTAAATCCTATTATAACAGGTGTGCGATCATATCAGGTTCTCCTTGCCACCAACTTGCTTTATTAAAAGTTACTTTTTTTTAGGGAGAATAACCTGATCAGGGCAGTGGGATAGCTTTGCAAAGCCTATGATAGCAGGAGAAAGATAGTTTTATTTTCTTGAGAGCAACTGCTGTTGCCAGTGAAATCACAGAATATTTACAACCATTTCTTTTGTGTTTGAGATGCCATGGTGGGACATAATCTCTTCTCTCTATTTTATAAAGGTTATTTCTCCCCAGGGTAATTTAGACCTAGGGACAAAGTGGGTCATCAAGCTGTTTTGTACCATGATTCACACATTGCTTGCCTACAATCACTTTCATACGCAGCATTCATACTCCAGTGACCACTGGGAGAATGAAAAACACCTTTGAGACACTTCTTAGCTGTGGATCCATTTGGTAGAAACTGGCTTTGAGTATTTGGCTCATCATAGGGAACCTAATTCTATGAAGTCCTTTAAGAATTTTAGTTTAAAAACACCTCATTTATAAGTGGTTTGGGCTGTTTCCTCTAGCTTCATCTTTTTATTTCTCTCTCCGTTTCTCTGCTTGGCTATCTTTAAACTCTTCCAGGAAGCTATTCCTAATAAGTACACATTCACACAGCAACCTGTTTCTTCCCCCTCAGTTTTAAAGTCTGGCCACTGATCTGCTAGGATGTATTGTTATCCCACCTTTAGTAGAGAACTAGTGCTCTAGGGTAGAAAGCCTAGCCAGTATAATTTCCCTTTGTAGTGACTTGGCTGGTGTATTAGGCCTTATCAAAGGAAAAGAATTGACAATGAGGTGGCAGAAACATGAAACAAGTTTTATTTTAGTGCTATATTGACAGGTTTGTGTGTGGAACATGGGAAAGCCCCTCACAGTGTAAGACCTTTAAAATCTGTGGTACTGGAGCCACAAAGAAAGGGAGAACAAGGAACATCTACGTGAGAGAAGAAAGGAATGGAGTTCTTACATTTCTGAATGTTGTCATTCAGTAAGTGGCACACTGGGGAACCTCCAGGTCAGAGATCTCTGAAAAAATCAGAAGTGACCCAGCATCTTTCAGAATGTATTTATTTGTTTTCTTTTATTTGTGTGTACATTATGTACATTTGTGTGTGTGTGTGCACACCCATGGCTGTCAATAAATGTACATGCACATGTCTATGGAAGCTAGAGGTTGATGCCAGGCATCTTCTTCAGTCACTTTCCTTCTGATTTTTTCTTTTGTATTAATTTTTTCATACAATATATTTTGATCACAATTTCTCCTCCCCCAACTCCTCCCAGATCCTCCCCAGCTCCCTACCCAACTTTATGGTCTCTCTTTCTTTATCAAAAGAAACCCCTACAAAAATAGAAATCAAAACAAATAAAAACCCAATAAAAAACCCTTACAAAACAAGATGCTAGGGAAGTTCCCAGGAGTCTGCAAGGATGACCCCACCTTAGACTACTAGCAATAGTTGAGAGGGTGCCTGAACTAGCCTCCTCAGGTAATCTGATTAGTGAATATCCTAACTGTGATCATAAAGCCTTCATCCAGTAACTGATGAAAGCAGATGCAGAGATCCAAAGCTGGGTGCCAGGCCAAGCTCCAGGAGCCCAATCAATGAGAGAGAGGAGGGATTCTATGAGCGAGGGACATCGAGATCATGATGGGAAAACTTACAGAGATGGCCAGCCATGAACTGTAAACCAATAGCTGTGGAGCCCCCATGAATCTGGACTAGGCTCTCTGGATAGGCGAGACAGTTGTTTAGCTTAACTGTTTAGGGGTGCCCCAGGCAGTGGGATCAGGATCCATCCCTGGTGCATGAGTGGGATTCCTGGAGCCCAGTGCCTATGGTGGGACACCTTGTGCAGCCTTGGTGCAGAGGGGAGAGGCTTGGATCTGCCTCAGTAGAATGTACCAGGCTCTGCTGACTCCCCATGGGAGACCTTGCCTTGGAAGAGGTGGGAATGGGGGGTGAGTTGTGGGGGAAGGCTGGGGGGCGGGAAGAGGGGGGAGACAGGGATCTGTGGTTGGTATGTAAAATGAATAGAAAATTTCTTAATAATAATAAAAGAAAGAAGTAAAAAAAACCCTGAAAATCAAAACAAACAGAAACTCAATAAAAAGAAAAGTCAAAGCAAAAAGTCCACATGCTCACATGTGACCCCCCACATACACAATCAAAACAAAACCCCTGTGGAGTTGACCTGTGTGGTGGACCATTTACTACTGGCATAGAACCTGGGATATAGTTGCTAAACCCAATGACACACCATTGGAGAAAACAGATTTTTCCTATGCTAGTGGGTATCAATTGCTTCTTCGTTAGGGGTGGCACTCCTTGTCTAATTCCCTCTTGAAGTGCTAAGGCTCTATCTGGCATGAACCTATACTGGTCTTATGAGTGCTGCCACAGTCCCCAAGGGCTGATGAGTATATAAGTCTTGTGTCTGAAAGGCACTACTTTCTTAGAGTCATGCATCACTTCTGGCTCTTACAATCTTTCCAATTTCTCTTTTGTATAGAACCCTGAGCCTTGAGGGGTTTGATGAAGACGTTCTATCTAGGATTGAGTGTTCCAAAATCTCTTACTCTTTGCACATTGTCCAGTTGTCAGTCTCAGTATTAATTCCCATCTACTGCAAGAAGACTCTTCTCTGATGAGGTTTGAGTGATCTATGTGTAGAGCAATATGTAATTTTTGCTATGTTCCTTTAGCAGAATAATAGTATTGGGTATTTCCCTAGGCCCATGCCCTATCTACTCTCAGGTTCTTCGCCTCTTTAGAAGTGTCAGATATGGATTCTACTTTATGGAGTGGGCCTTAAATCCAACCAAAAAGTGGTTGGTTATTTCCATAACATTTGTGCTGCTATTGGACTAGTATATCTTGCAGACAGATCACTGTTGCAGATCATGGAGCTTGTACCTGGGTGATGTTGATAATTACCTTTCTCTTCTGGTAGCATGCAGAGTATCTTTTAGCTCTGTGAGTGCTAGCCAATAATAGAAGTGAAACTGCTAGTTTGGCACCAGCTCAACTTTTCTGTGTTCACTAACATAAGTAAACGTTGTCTTTAACAGTAGGGCCTCACCATCAGGTTTTGTAGAACAACCAGTAGCCTTGGCAATAGCCTGTGATGTTTAGGGCATTCCACGGGATATCTTTGGCCAATGACTCAACAAGATGTAACCCATTTCTAGCAGTAGATGTTTTACTTGGTGGCATTGTCTCCTCCATTATATGGTGATTCCATTGGGATGCCTTCTACATTAGTAGGTTTCCCTTTGGTTCGCAAGGCTTTAATGTTAGTTGTTAGTTGGACCTCTCTGTCTTCCCTCTTTTACTCTCTTCTCCCATGCACTACCCATTTAAACTCCCTACTATTCTAGTTTTCCATTTGTATCTCCACAATACTATATTCTATTTTTCATTCCTACAAAGAGCCTCTCCTGCCCTTTGGTCCCTTACTAGGTACCTAACCTCTGTGGTTTTTCAGATTGTATCACACATAACATCCAAATATAAGATAAAATATAAAAGATTTGTCTTTTGGGTCTGGATTACCTCACTCAGGATTTTTTCTAGCTCCATCCATTCACCTGCAAATTTTATGATTTATTTTTTCTTAACAGCTGAATAATATTTCATTGTCTTATTGTACCACATTTTCATTATTCATTCACCAATTGATAGACATTTAGGCTGTTTCCATTTTCAGGATATTATGACTAGAACAGTAATGAACATGAATGAGTAATTCTCTGAGGTAGAATCTAGAGTCCTTTGGGTATATGCCTGAGTGACATAGCTGGATCTTTAGATAGATCTATTCCTAGCTTCCAGAGGAACTGCCACACTGATTTCCATAGTGGCTATACCAGTTCACACTCCTACAAGCAATGAGTAAGTGTTCTCTCTTTCCTGAATCCTTGTCAGCACATGGTACTATTTGTTTTACTGATTTTGGCCATTCTGACTGGGGTAATTAAAATCTCAAAGTAGTTTTAATTTATGTTTCCCAGATGGCTAAGGATGTTGAACATTTATTTATGTGTTTTTCATGTATTTGTATTTCATCTTTTGAGAACTCTTTTCTTAGTTTTCTGTACACCACTTTAAAAATTGGTTATTTGTTTTCTTTCTTTTGGTGGGGGTGTTTGAGACAAGGTTTCTCTGTGTAGTTTTGGTGACTGTCCAGGATCTTGCTCTGTAGACCAGGCTGGCCTCGAACTCACTGAGATCCACCTGGATCTGCCTCTCAAGTGCTGGGATTAAAGGTGTGTGCCACCACTGCCCAGCAGTTATTTGTTTTCTTGATGTCCAATTTTTATTGTTATTTATGTATTTTACATATTAGTCCTCTAACAGATGTGTAGTTGCTAAATATCTTTTCCCATTCTGTATCCTGCCACTTTGTCCAAATGACGATGTCCTTTGCTATACAGACTTTTTCAGTTTCATGAAGTCCCATTTATAATTGTTGATCTTAGTGACTGTACTATCATCTACTTTATTTTTTGAGACAGTTTTTTTTTGAACTTGGAGCTCACCAGTTTGGCTAGACTAGCTGGCCAGAAATTCCCAGATATTCTCATCTGCTTCCCCACTACTGGGGTTACAGGTGCATACCTCTGAATCTTGCCTTTATGTAGGTGCTAGGGGCCTGAACTCAGGTCCTCAGATTTGTTGAGCGAGGACTGTACCTACTGAGCAAACGTCTTCATTTATAAACTCAATCTCAATGTTTTTCCATATTTGTGGTCAATAGGTGTTAGGTGTAGTTTTGCAAGATATATAGAGTAGGAAGGAACTTATGTTGGCAAAAAGATCAGTCTATTTGGGATTTATTTAAAAAACTATTAGATGAGTAGATATTGGAGTGTATTGTCTATTGGTTTTTGAGGTAATAGGTCTCAGCTTGCTGGGAGGAAGTGAGCATAAGATAAATACATATTTTTAGGCTCATTAATATAACACTTGTTAGTACAGTTGAAAATACTACTCAATAATAGAAATGAAACATAGATCCCCAATTAAGTGAGACAAAATAAACCTCTTACTAAAGGGTTTTCCATATATAGTGTTTTGGAAAATACCAAAAGTTCCTGAATTACTGAACTTTTAGAGGCAAAAAGGGTTTGGGGACTTTATAACTATCCATGAAACAAGGTTGCTGGAGTGTGTCTGCTATGATTGGCTGACTTTCTGAAATATTGGGCTATTGTTCATTGTTTGGCTTTCAAAAACCATGATTATGAATACAAAATGTCACTGACCAAAGACTGTGTTTATAACTAGCTCTGGGCAATACTTGCTACTATGCTGAAAGGAAAATCAGTCTTAATGGGGAAGAACAATTTTATGTTCATCACTGATCACTTAGCACAGTGTATTTTTAGAGCACAGAGCACCCAGTAAGCACCTGCAGAATAAATGGGCAGCATGTATGGGCCATATAAAACACACTGGTTTCTAGTTTGTAGTGATGAAGCTTCTCTCTAGAGTTTAAATAGCACCCCCCTGGACTGAACAATAGCATTCTTATCTTTTCCATAGCCGAACAAGACATTTTCATATTCATCATCTCATATGACCTTCACTTTAGGCTGGGAAGTAAAGGAAGATTTAGAAGCAGTCTCATTTGTGAGAGATAAAGGGAATACCCAGTGTTATGTAGACTCCATGTTTCTCTTTTAAAGGAGAGTGTTAGAGTAGTAGAACAGAGATTCCAATCTGGTGTGAAGACATGCTGACCTCTCAGCCTTAGGTGGGTCTCGTTTTAGAGTGGTTCAAGCCATTGCCCATTTTGCCTCCATGTGCTGACAAACATTATTTCCGATGTGTGTCCAGTTGTGAAATGGGGTAAATACTATACAGAAGTGCATTTAGTTCAAATGTGTATCTTTAGAGATGGTCCACAACTCTTGGTGAAGTAAAACTAATTTATATCTGATTGTGATGTGTGAATACATAAAGTGCTTCTACCCTCTATCACTCAAAGCTTAGGTAATATAAAAACAGGGACAGAGCTACTAAGCTGGGTCGACAGGTAAAGGTGCTTGCTGCTGATCTGAGTTTTGTTCCTGGAATCCAATGGTAGGAGAGACCTGACTCCTGCAGGTTTCTCTCTGACTTCCACATGTGCCTACACACATACATACACAGCCACCTCTGTGCTCCACACACACCTACACACATACACACAGAGACATACAAATAAGTTAGTAAGTATAAATGGGCAGTGCCATACTTTCCTAATAGGATTTAAATATTTGTGATATTTCATTTAAGGTGTTTGCTTGACTGGACTAAAAGTTACATGGATATTCCATGAAACAATATTCCTTGGTGTGTCTGTGAGGTATATCTTGCAGAGATCAGCATTCAGATTGGTGAGCTAAATGAAATAGATGGGCCTCCTCATTGTTGGTGAGTATCATTCCATCTGATGTATATTTGAATGCAACAAAAACATAGAAGTTTGAATTCATTCCTCCCTGGCTGCTTGGGTTGGGACATAGTATTCTTTCCTTTGGCGTTCTTTATTTTTAGCTCTCCAGACTTGAATTAGAATCAATTCCATTAGCTTTCTGCCTGTTGGGTCTTCAAACCACACTAGTGGCCTTCTTGAGTCTCCACTTTATAGGTGGCAGTTTGGAGGACATAGCCACCACAGTTACATAGCTCATTGTAATAGGACTTTTAGGACAAAGGCCCTGACCTGGCAGTCCTAACCAATTAGACTCCACCAGCTATCCAGCTATGTCACTTAAGGAGTTGAGTAATGGTGAAAAGTAGAGAAAGGAAATTTCATGAATGCATGCATTGTGAAGAGGTACAGAGAAGTCCAGTGACTAGAGGTTCATCTTCAATGTGCTTTAGATTTAAATAGAGGAAGAACTGGGGAAAGGAGACATGCATGATTAAGTAGTTCTAGTCACTCTGTGATCACTCTCTCTGTCTCTGTCTCTTTCTCTTTCTCAGCAGTGCTGTGAATCTAACCTAGGGCCTTGAGCATGCTAGGCTAACATTCCACTGCTGAGCTATGCCTCTAGTCTCTCAGTATATGTATGGTCTGGTTGATCATTATCTCGATTCTGGTTCTTCAAGATAGTCCGAAGAAGCTATCTTGCTATCCCTGTCATTTGTCATTGTTTGAAAGGAGCAATGTGGTTCCCATGAGATAATTACTTATGCTCCAGGATACAGTCTTACACCATATATAATTGCCCTCACTTGGAAGGAGTTATGTCCTGCAAGGCTTTGCTAGTCCTGCAATTCAAGGTGACTACAGATTTAGGGCAATGACTTTTCTCTGTGCTTTTCTCCTTGAAGGGGAATAAGACATACAGACAGACAGATACACAAACAGGCAAATACATTGATTGATTGAGTGACCTTAGTATGTCTATACAGATTCAAGCAGGAATCTTACCCAAAGTAAGGGAGACAGACACAAACTGAAGGCAGAGATGGCTGGCTTTCATCCCATTTGTAGTTTTCAGAGGGGTTTAAGTAAGGAGCTAGTGCTCTTTAGCAAGACCAGCTTCTCTTTTTCTCAAAGAAATGAGATCCATTGTGATATTTTTATACATATATATGTCATCATTTTTATGCACATCCCCCTGTCCCTTCTTATTTTCCTTCTTGGAGATCCCCAGAAAATCAGTTTCTAAGCACTCATTGTGTTACTTTATAATACATCTCTTTATATTTTATAGAAATAGATGTTTATTATCTATCTGTCTGCCTGCCTGTCTATCTGTCATCTCCATTCTATTCTCATCCTGTGGAGAACTGTAACTAACAGACTTTGGTATTGAGGTTGGTTCTAGATAAAATATTGATGGTGAGTTTTATGAATTGGTCCTAGGGTTTATGGAACTGGCTCTGAAATATAAAGTGAAATTTAAGGTGCTAATGATTCTGTTTGTAGTAATGAAGAAAGCATCAGTTGTCTACATGTAACTTTGCAAAGAAGATGCACAACATTTCTGCACTGGATACTCTTAATCAGCCATTTACCACTTATAGGAATGAAGGGCTTGGGTAAATGTGTATATAATGCAGCAGGACAGCTTTGGAAAACCAGTGAGTAAAATAAAATCAGCCTTTTACTCCTAATGTCACTGGACAAAGTTCAGAAAGAAAAACTTGAACTCAAGGACTTGAGTTTCCAACTGAAGTGTCATGAAAATGTGTGCCCTGAGGGAGACCTTTTGTTACTGTATCTTCAGGACTAAGACTGCTGAAGATCACTCTGGATGACTTTCCACACATGCTGAACTTTCAGGCCTGTAGGATATGCCATATTGAAATGAAGGCATTGGTTGAAAAGGAACAAGATCCTGTAAGTTTGACTGAAGATGTATGAGACAACTCTGATAAAGTTAGAACTCTGAGCCCATAAATTCTAGTGAGTCATCTTTGCTAGTGGAAGTGGTCTCCTCACCAGACTTAGAGAGTAGCCAATAGAATACCACCCGTGGTCATATTATCCCTCCTATCCCTCTATAAGGGGATTAACCTGGAGTTACCAGAAGAAATTATGATGAACTCTGAGACAGTTACTAAGAATAAAATATTTATCTTCACCACCTTCTACAACCCCTATTTGCTTGCAAACATATAACTATTAAGTCCCTACAGACCTATAAATATAAGGTTCAAAATATGATCTATGGAGAAGTAGGCAAAATTCCAAAATAATCACTCAAGTTGTCTCATTTTTACAAGCTTCTGCTGAGAAGGAAAATATAGGAATGGATACTAAGAATATAAGACAATGTTGGGAGGAGCATACACTTGGATTAAAATTTATGAATATGGACTCAATAAGTATATCACCCAAAAGTTACACCACTAATCTTTCTCCCAGTCTTCCCCAAGGGAACCTACAGGATTTTACTAGGGTAACTTTATACTGTGAAATTTTAATAATATAACTTTAAGAGTCTATTGAACATTGGTTCTGAACTGACACTAGTTCCAGGAGACTAAAAATATCAGTGTGAACTAATAGTTGACCAGAGGTTAGTGAAGCTCAGATGATAAATGGAATTTTAGCTCATGGCTAATCTCACAGTTGATAAAATGACTCCTTGAACCCATTTTGTGGAAACGTGTCAGTTTCAGAATACAAAATTGGAATAGATGCACTTAACCCTTGTCAGAATCCATGATAGGTCATTCGTTCATTGACCTATGTATGAGAGCCATGATGTAACAAAGGCTAAATAGAAGCCAGCAGAACTGCCTATACCCGAAAAAGCAGTAAACTAAAAGCAATGCTGTTTTCATAATATTGAACACTTTTTATAATTAAAATTAGTTTGAAATTCACCCCAGTCAGAATAGCTAACGTTAAGGAAGCTAATGAGAAGTGTTGCTGAAGATATGCGTTAAGGGGAGTCCCTTACTCACTGCTAGTGGGCAATATAAACTGGTGCAGTCATTATGGAAATCAGTATGGATGTTTCTCCAAAGAATAAAAATACAGCTACCAAAGACCCAGGTATGTCATTCTTGAATCTGTGCCCAAAGGACTAAAGTTCTACCACAGTGATACTTACATATACATGATTACAGTTGATCTAGTCACAATAGTTAGGGAAGGAAGCCAGCCCAGATATTTACTCACAGATGAATGCATGAAAAAACTACAGTATGTATACACAATGGAACTTTATGCAACCATAAATAAAAATGGAATTATGACAGTTGTAGGGAAATAGATGTAATTGGAAGTCATTTTGTTAAGCAAAATAAGCCAGGCTCCAAGACAAATATTGCATGTCTTCTCTCATATGCAGATCTTAGACTGTAATTTGTATGTATTATGTGTATGTATATATGTATGTAGTGAGGTGTGGGCTATGAAACTACAAAGGAGAACATGGGGGAGGGGAGAAAAACCTTTAAGGGAGGGAGAAGATGATGGAAAGGAAGAAAGAAAAGGTAATGGAATACATATGACATGAAAGCAGAGGCAGTGAGGCTATTGCGAGGGAGCAAAGGCACCAACAGGAAGAGGTCAGCTGGACAGGAGAGGGGAATGAGATGAATAAGAACAATGCATAACTGAAAATGCCACAATGAAAACTACAATTTGGTATGCTTTCTGAGCAAACCTAATAAAAAAGCAATATCGTTTTTGTGCAGGAGGATGAAAAATAAATCTGACAAGAATTCAGTGTCCTTATATATCAATGAAAATTCTAGAGGTCTGGTGGTATGGGATAGAGATATCCTTCTAAGGTGAAGAATAACTGATTGCATGTTAGTTCTCCTGCAACTAAAAGAAGGGCTCTGAATTTTGAAGGCAATGCATTTATCACTTTGAGTGGGTTATCCTAACCAGCAGTGAAGTGATCTAAAGTCTGCTCATTTTTGGTGGGGTCCACAACAGGAGAAGTTTCTGCTACGTATCCTGAACCAGCTAGCTTGATAAAACTGGATGGCCTTTTAAAGTCTCAGTTACACTGTCATGTATATAGCAATGCCTTGCATATCCAGGAGGATTCTTCTAGAGGGCTTTGTATAATTTGTGACAGCATCCATAGTGCTCCCATGTCCAAGACTGACTCGTCCAGGAATCAAGGGGGTAGAAGCGAGAACAGCAGCACCCACAATTGTCTCCACTGATCTAGTAGCCAAAATTGTACTTCTTATTCTTGTGGCTTTATGCTGTTCCTGCTCAAAAGTCTTAGTTGTAAAAGTCATAGTTGGAACTCTTTCATCAGAAGAAACAACAGTGATCATGTTACTAAAGTTAAGGGTGCTGGCCAGACACTTTGGACTCTTCATTCCTCTGAATCTATAATAGGTGGAGAACGAGCCTATGATGCTGGTTGAGGTGACTTATCCTGGCTACCTTATTGGAATGCTACCTCTGAGTGGAGGTAAGAAAGTACATGTTTGGAATACAGAGGACCCTGTAGAGGTTTGAAACAAGGTGATTCCTTTGGGTGTCTTTTAAGGGTCTGTAATTAAGATTCATGGAAAACTGCCAAGATTAGTAATAGTCAAAGCCATTCAGAAATGAAGGTTTGGGAGGCTCACAGGGAAAAAGTTCATGTAGCCAAACAGTATGTCAGGTATATTGAATATATTTTTAGGATACTTTCTTTTTTTCCTCAATTATTTTATTTGGAAATCATTTTTTTCATACAATATATTTTAATTATGATTTCCTCTCTGCCAACTCCTCCCAGGTCCTCTCCACATCTCCACATCCCCACCACCCAACTCTATAGCCTTTCTTTCTCTTTCTTATTAGAAAACAAACAGGCACCTAAAATAATAAAATAAGAGAAAATAAGAACAAACAAATGAAAATAGGACAGACAAGCAAGCAAACAGAATGGGTTCATCTGCGTGCAATACAATTATAAGCCAAAAACCCCTGCACATTAAACAAATACTGACACAATTAGATTTAGAAATAGACAATTCAACAATAATATTTGGACATATCAATCCTCCACTTTGAAAAACAGGAAACAAGAGAGAAAAATTGCAAGTTATTTGTATTGACCTAAGTGACGTTTATAGGACAAAGCACCCAACAACAATGTGATAATGTTTTCATATATATTATTGCTGCTTCTGTCTTGGATACTTTTCATCTCACCAAAGTCAAGTCTGTTTTATGTACTTGACTTTCCAAAACTTATGACTGATTTGAAGTGAGAACCTTTCAATTTGTTAGTAACATGTTTAGAAATGAATTGAGATAACTTTTTGTTTTGTTGTTTGCTATTCATTTGTTATTTTAGGGAATATTACACCCCAGAAATTGACACTGATTGCAGTTACAGGGAGTGACAGAGGCTGACAGATTGTTGTCATGTTTCCAGTTAGAGTTAAGCAGGGAAGTTTTTTCAAACTCATAAAAGCTAATTACAGTTGATGCACTGATATAGAGTTAGGCAGAAGTACAGAATTCTCCTTTAGCTTTTTTTTGATATTAGAAGCAGTGTTGGGGACTGCAGAGATGGCTCAGCAGTTAAGAGCACTTGTTGCTCTTGGAGAGGACCCGAATTTAGTTCCCAGCACCACACAGTAACTCATAAATATCTATAACTCCAGTTCCAGGGGATCCAATGTCTTCTTCTGAGATCTATGGCGCACATATATGCATTTAGGCTAAACACTCATACACATCAAATACAATAATCTTAAAAAGCAGTAGTATGTAGCTAGAGTTTTCCGGCCTGGCCCACAATCAGGACAAATCTCTGACACCCGCCAGTCCCACAGCCGCTCAGACCCAACCAAGGAAACACAGAGACTTATATTGCTTACAAACTGTATGGCCATGGCAGGCTTCTTGCTAACTGTTCTTATATCTTAAATTAATCCATTTCTATAAATCTATACCTTGCCACGTGGCTCGTGGCTTACCGGCATCTTCACATGCTGCTTGTCATGGTGGCGGCTGGCAGTGTCTCCCTTCCACCTTCCTGTTCCCTCAATTCTCCTGTCTGTTAATCCCGCCTATACTTCCTGCCTGGCCACTGGCCAATCAGTGATTTATTTATTGACCAATCAGCAACACATTTGACATACAGACCATCCCACAGCAGTAGTATTAAAGATAATTTTTAATATATAGAAAAGTAGAGGGAACAGTGCCAGGACCCCCATATACCCATTAGCTGGCTCTAACTATCATCACTTCATTGTGACCCTTGCTTTGTTTATACTCCCTTACCTATTCTTCATTAATTTATTACTAGGTCTAGATATTATAAAATCCCCTTTTGTAAAATCTTGTAGTCAGGCAGAGGTACATGCCACCCATGCATTGAGTTATGAGTTGGGAGGTCAAACCTCTGATTACTAAGGAATAATGTAATTTTTCTTGGCCTCAGATTCTTTCTGTGTAAAAAAAGAGGTTTAGTCTTCACATTGGCTCTCCACAACGTCTACACTGTACATTAGAGTCATTTAAAGATCTATAGGAAATTATGGAACCTTTTGAGAGAGTGACCTTTCTTTAATATTTAAAGGAGAAGGGGAATGAAAAGGTGGCTCACTGCTCCTTCATTATAGTGATTGCTGTTTGTGTTTCTAATACCTGCAAAATAGTAGGTAAAATATATTTTGTTACTTTATCACTGTACTTACATTAGATCTATATTAATACCTTAAGTCATTATTATTAGTTACCTAATTTTGCCAAAATCATTCATTTCTAAAAAAATTATCATATATAAGTGTGTGTGTTTATTTTGCATGAGTGCATGTGCTTGCATTGAGATGTTTTTCTAGGCCCCCACCCTCAAATTATACTTGTTTTTGTTGTTTACAGTTTGATTTTTTTCTTCTTGGTTTAATATGTATTTCTGATATGTTGTAGGAAGGAAGACAGGATTACTTGTAGTGTGCAGTGCTTAAAAGAAAGTACTTCAGTGTAATGATAGCATGGATTAAAAAAATCAATTACCTTAAATTTATATTGTATCTTTCCTCTGAAATCTCAAGCCCTTACACAGAGACTATAAAATTATGGGAACCCAGGAGCTAAGCCTTGGTGGAAAGAGTGCTGTATCAGAAAAAAAAAAAAAAAAACAAAAACCATGTTCTGTTAAATGCAGAATCTTTCTACTCCAGACCCAATGAAGCACAATGTGCATTTTATTTTATTATTTATTAAAATATATGTGATTTGTATTAACATATACTAATTGTAAAAAGAAATAGGTTTTGTTGTCACATTCCATATATGCATAAGATATTTGTGGCTCCTTCTATTATCTTATATCCTCTTTTCTCTCCCCTTCCCTTTCCCTCCTAAATCTCTAATAGTCTCTCTTTAGCTTTTATGTCCTTTCCCTGGATGTCACAAATGAGAGAAAATGTCACACTTTTCTTTTTGATAATTGGCTTATTTCACTTAACATAATTGATCTCAGAATATATATTTAAAAAAGAGATCTGGTGCTAGCAAAATTTCTCAGCATGTAGAAGCACTTGCTGTTAACCCTGATAACCTGAGTTTGATCTCCAGGACCTACATGGTAACCAGAGAGAACTGACTTCCTGAAGTTGTCCTGTGAGTTCTACATGTGTACATGGCAGGTGAGTCCCCACTCTTCTCCATGAATGGATGAATAAACACTTAAAAAGAAATACACATGATTCATATGCACATAACATTGAGAAACTATTTTATGTCCTCAAACTATTTTAGCTGTTCCATTGGTACCAGCTATTTACTTACCTTGTGATAATGAGAGATGGGGTTAGTGTTCCAACTATAACCTAGGTTGGGAACTCAGAAATGACTGTCCTCAGGGTCCAGCCTAGGCTATAAAATAAATAGCACAAAATGGGCCTTAGAATAGTTAATGCTGGCTTCCTGGAAATGTCTTTTTTAAAAAAAATTCCATCAATTAATCTCAATGGTGTCTTGGTTTAACTTTTCTGTACAACACTGACTTCAAATGATGTCATCATGTGGCCCTGTCTTTCTACTCTTCTATTCAATTAAAATATAATTACATCATTTCTTCCTTCTATTTCCTTCCTCCTAACCCTCCCACATATCCCCTACTCTCTCCCAAATTCACAGCCTCCCTTTTACAAACCATTGTTGTTATATACATGTAAAAATGTATAAATACATTCATACAACTTGCTGAGTCAGTTGTTTGGTGTTGCCTGCATGTGTATGTTCCTAGGGATGACTGTTTCATACTGGATAATCAATTAAGGCTTATCCCTAAGGAAGTCTAATCCTTGACTCTCAGCATTTGTTAGTTACTTGTAGCTCTTCACCTAGAGGTGGGACCCAGTGAAAGTTTCCCTATCTGTGCTAAGTTGTCAGCTGTTGTTGGAATTGTTCAGGCATCCTTCAGGCAGCCATATTTTTGAGATGTGGGAGAAGTTTCCTCGTCATTTCTAGGATACACAATTTCACGGTAGACATCTTGGGCCTTTGACTCTTACAATCTTTCTGCCCCACTTCTGTAGCACAAGTTCTAATTGGTCTTAATAATAAAAACCCAGAGTCAGATATCAGGGTGAAAGCTGAAAGATCAGAGAAGCAGAGCAGCAGCCACAGAAAGACTGCTTACCTCTAGGAATCCTCACACTGAAAGGGGCCAAGCTCTTCTCCCCATCCTGCCTTATACTTCCTCTTTCCACCCAGTCATATCACTTCCTGTTTCCTCCCCGCAAGTGCTGGGATTAAAGGCGTGTGCCTTCCAAGTATTGAGATCTAAGGCAAGTTTTATTTGTGAGGGCACAAACAAAATATCACCACACACTTCCACGTTGTTCCTTGAACCTTAGGTGCAGGAGTTGTGCTGTAGATGTATCAATTGGGAGTGGACACTTCGTGATAACTTGTTCTCTGTATTTTGACTGGTTGTGATTTTCTATAATTGTCTCCTATTGCAAAGAGAAATTTATTTGATGAGAAGTTAGAGCTACACTTATCTGTAGGCATAAGGATAAATATGTAAAGTGCAGTTAGAAAATTATGCTTGTTTAGGAAAATGGTGGTACTAGGTTCTCCTTTAATGTCTATGACCTCTCCAGCCGTGGGTAGATGGCTACATTTCCAGTCAGTACAAGACATGGTTTTCCTCCTGTTGAGTGGGTCTTACCTCCAATTAGCTATTGGTTACCCCTAAGATAAAAGTGCCACTATTGCACCATTGTGGAAATGTTTCCAATCCAATTATTGTTGCACCATTGTGGAAATGTTTCCAATCCAATTATTGTTGTAGTTCATAGGCTTCACAGTTGTGTAGTTGAGTAGGGTTACAGAATACCCCTCTTGTTCGGAAGCTCGCACAGTACCTTCTGATACTCCTTAAGAATGAGGCTTCCAGATTAGTTCTAGCTTGATTCCTCCAAATTCATGTCTTCAGCAGTAGAGCCTTACCTTCACATTCTGGGAGACAACCAAGGGTAACAGTAATAGCCTATATTGTTTTGGGGGATATCTTGAACTCCCCTGATCAACAACTTGAGATGTTTCTCATGAACAGTAGTAGGATTTTTGTTAGATAGTCCATGGTTTGTGGGGAATGGGGAGCATTGTCACTCCAAGTGGCATAACTTCATATATCTATATCTATCTATCTATCTATCTATCTATCTATCTATCTATCTATCTATCTATCTATTTATCATCTATCTATCTATAACTTCATATATATATATATATGTATATAGTGTGTGTGTACTCATATACTTGTGTATTATATACAATTTTAGGGAAATATAAAATAATGACTCCTTACATCTTTTTCAAGCATTCCTAGTGTTATTTATCCCTCCTCCCTCACTCTCCTTCTATATTACCCTCTGTTTTTCTTCCCAGTTAAAGCCTCAACCCCATTATCCAGTTTCTTCCTTCATAACACTCACCATTTCCCACCTTAGGACTCCTTCTGCACCTCCTTGGTACCTTTTTATTTTCCTTGTTTCTGTGGTTACTCCATATTATATGCTCACATTTATAGATTGAGAGCTAAGAACCACAAATGAGAGAGATAGCATGTGACATTTGTCTTTCTGAGTCTGGGTTAGGTTACCTCACCCAATATGATCTCTTTAGTTTCATCCATTTAGTAGCAAAATTCAGGATTTCATTTTTACTTACAGTTGAGTGGTATTCATTATGTATGTGTATCACATTTTCATTATCCATTAGTTGAAGGACAATTAGGTTGTAAATAGAACAGCAATGAACATGGCTGAGCAAGTACCTATGGAGTTAGGATGTCAGCTCCTTTGGGCATACACCAAGGGGTGATATAGCTGGGTCATATGGCAGATTTATTTTTAATGTTTTGAGAATTCTCCAAACTGATTTCCAGAATGACTGCATCAGTTTTCCAACTCACCAACAGTTAATGAGGGTCCCTCCTTACCTACAGACCCATCAGCAGCACCTGCCTTCATCCTCTTCAGTCGCCATGTTTATCTCTGGTAGCATACCCTGTTCATAGGTCCACTCTGATGATCCCTCACCCCCTAGTCCACCTGTACTATATCTAATTTCCAGGCCTATCCTGAGCTTCACATCTGCACAAAGATTCACCCCCATGAATCCTTAGAACCTCTTCTAATGGTGCTATCCTCAATCTCTAGGCCTTGCCACATAGCCTGTATGCTGGCCTAGCCTGAGTCAGCCTAAAATCTTATATCAGATATATACAACCAATGAAAGATGCCCATATGGCCAGTATCATTGAAAAAGCAATATGAAAGGTCAAGACAGTACATCTCTCCCAAAACCTATAGAAATGTTCTCTAATGAAAATTACTAAGTTAAATCACAGGACATAGAATTCAAAAGAACAATTATAAACTTGAAGAATTCAAGGAGTTTAAAAAAGACACAAACTAATAGTCAAATGGACTTAAAGAGCATAACATGAACATACAGTTGAATAAAATGATGAGGAAAATCCAGGATTTCTATTCTTTATTATCTACCAAGTCCCTTTACTATGGGCCCAAAATATACCACAGTGACATAGTCAGACCCAGTGTTAGAACAGACACTTCTTGGTAGGGCTTGTGACTGAGCCACAGAAGCTCTCCAAGTCTGACTAAAATTAACCCTTCCTATATCTTTCCTACCTCCACTACCCAAGGAAGGTTACATTTTCCTATTGACAAGCCTAATTTGTCAATCAAAGTTTTACATCTGGGACAGAGTGATTCTGTTAAGTCATTTATCCTAGTCTGTTGTGTGATGCCAAAAATACTACAGACTGGGTCAGTTATAAGGAAAAGAGGGTTTTTGGGTGCACACTTCCCTTTTTAAAACATGATTTATCATCATCATCATCATCATCATCATTTTTAATATCCAGACCACAGTTTGTCCTCCCTCCTCTCCCCCAAGTCCCTCCCCCCACATCCCCCTGCTGGCCCCCTCATTCACTCTTCCTCCAGTTCTATTCAGAAAAGGGCGGGCCTCCTATGGATATCAACCAAATATAGACTATCAAGTTGCAGTAAGACTAAGGACCTACCCTCATGTTAAGGCTGGACAAAGCAACCCAGTGTGAGAAATAGGGTCCCTAAAACCAGCAAAAGAGTCAGAGACAGTCCTTGCTCTGACTGTTAGGAGTCTCACAGGAAGACCAAGCTATATACTGTAACATATATGGGGAGTGGCCTAAGTCAGTCCCATGCAGGCTCCTTGGCTGTGGGTTCAGTCTCTGCAGGCCCCTATGAGCCCAGGTTAGTTGATTTTGTGGGTTTTCTTGTGGTGTCCTTGACCCTTCTGGCTCCTACAATCTCTCCTCCCCCTCTTCTGCAGAATTCTTCAAGCTCTGCTTAATGTCTGGCTGTGGGTCTCTGTTTCCATCAGTTGCTGGATGATGCCTCTCTGATGACAATTGAGCTAAGCACCAATCTATTGGTATACAGAATATCATTTGGCATCATTACATTGACTTTTTTTGCTGGTTATGTTTGGTTCTATGCTACGTCTCTGGGCTATCCAGCCTCTGGGTCCTGGTGCTCCAGGAAGTGTCATAGATGGGCTCCCTCTCATATCATAGGGCTCAAGCTGAACCAGTCATTAGTTGGCCACTCCCACAATTTCTGCACCACCTTTACCCCAGCACATCTTGTAGTCAAGACAAATTGTAGGTTGAAGGTTATGTGGCTGGTTTGGTGTCCCAATCCCTCCACTTGAAGTCTTGCCTGGTTATAGGAGATGGGCAGTTCAGGTTATGTATCCCCTATTGCTAGGAGTCTTAGCTAGGGTCACCCTTGTAGATTCCTGGGAGTTTCCATTGCATTAGGTTTCTATATCACCTTGAAATGCCTCTCCTTTCCAGTTGTCTCTTCCAATACTTTCCCCTTCCATCTCTCCCACCTGATCCCTTCCTGTTCCTACCCCAACCCATGCCCAGTTCATCCACAAAATCTATTCTATTTCCCCTTCCCAGGAAGATCCATGCATCCCCCTTGAACCCTCCTTGTTACTTAGTTTCTTTGGTTCTGTGGGTTATCTCACTCAGAATGATTTTTTTCTAGTTCCATCCGTTTGCCTGCAAATTCCATGGTGCCATTGTTTTTGACAGCTGAGTAATAATCCATTATGTAAAGGCATTGCATTTTCTTTATCTATTCTTCAGTTGAGGGACATCTAGGTTCTGGCTATTATGAATAAAGCACAAGATCAAGCTAGTCAGTGTTATAATATGGAGGGGAAGGGACGCATGCTCCTCTACCCCTCACTGAGGAACTATAGACAGGTGATGACTTCTAGGGGAAGGAGAGACAGTTTTCTTTAAGGGTGTGGCTCCTGGTAAGTCCACCACACTACACTGGATGACCCCATAGCCATGGTAATATGGGCAGCACAAATTGGAGTCAATGGGTTTTTAGAGAAAGAAAAGAATGACATAAAGTTGGGAGAGATTGGAAGGTGGGGAATGGATCTGGGAAGAGTTAGGAGAGGAGTGCAGGGTAAATATGATCAAATGCATTGCATGAAGTTCTCAAAGAATACAAATATTATATTCAAAACTCTCATACTGAATATTACATTTCTATATGTTTGGCAGAGGAAAAAATCTTGTTCATACCACCGTTATTTCAAGAAAAATTCCAATTGAAGTTTATCTTCACTACCAATTGTGTGATATTCCTTTAGAGATATTTACCTATTATCCTTTTACCCATCACAGAAGCAAGTCTGAGAATCACTGAGTGTGTTAAGAATTATGCTAAATGATGGAATATAGAGATGACTAAAGCACGGCCCTGTTCTCCAGCATCATATAATGGGGGCTATAAAATATGCTCAAGTAGACATCAAGTTCCTGGAGGGCATGGTGCCATCCCCTACTTGTCACTGAATCAATAAAACACACAGCTTTCTCTTGTAATGATCACTTCATTTACCAACCGTTGGCTGAGTTGCTCACCCTGCATGTCAGACTGTGCTGGGAGCTGAGGAAAGAATGATAAATCGAATACATTCTCAGCCCTCAGGTGAACCTTCTGATGGGTGAGACAATGAAGCAGAGACTCCCAAGCCACTGAGGGCACTCCATGCTGCTGGGAAGCAGTAGAAGCAGTGAGTTGTGGAAGGAATGAATTCCATATGGGGTGACATCTAAGGCTGAGTAACTATAACTTTGGGGAGCATATCACTTAAAATAGCAGTGAAAACATATATCGCTGCTGTAGTTTGACTCTGAAACATTCCCCAAAGGCTCATGTGTTATAGGCTTGGTTGCCAAACTGTAGTAGCATTGCAAAGTTCTAGAAGTTTCCATAGGTGAAGGCAGTTGGGAGGAAGTTAGAGGTATGTCTTTGAAAGGGATGCTGAGATCTGAGCTCCATCTCTTTTCACGTCGTTTCTCTTTCTGTCTTTTGCTTCTAGCCCACCATGAGGTAGACAACTTTGCCTCATCCCAAGTCCCTCCATGATGTTCTCCCTCAACACAGGCCCCAAATCAACAGAACCAGCCAACTACGGATGAAGCCTCTAAATCGTGGACCCAAGTTAAGTTTCTCTTTTCTGTAAGTTGTTTATTTTACCACAGTGACAGAAAGCTAAAACATATACAAAAATTAAAGGGGAGCTCCTCTTTCATTTGAAGTAAGGTGTGTGTGTGTGTGTGTGTGTGTGTGTGTGTGTGTGTGTGTGTGTGTGTGTGTGTGTAAAAGATGTTTTTAATGGAACCTATGACACACTTATGACAAATATCTCTAGACTGAAATTGGCAGGGTGATAGTAGCTCTCAATGTTTTTACATTCTCAGTTTATTCATTAAAAAACTCAAATAAAAACCAACAAAACAGAACAAAATCCTGCATTTAAAACAATATAAAATTTGTCATTTAAACCAAAGGTGGTGGTAAGAACTGCTTTTGTGGTCCTTATCTAAATGCTCACCGCAAGGATGCTAATGTATTGAGATTGAAGGAGCCTGACAGCACAGTTTCTTAGGAGGAAGAGTTTGTGGCCCTCATTCCCACCACTACTGTGGAGAAAGTGATGTCTTCCACCTTCAGTCAAGCAAAATAGCTGCTTTAATAAAACCCTATGGCAAGCTTGACCTGTAAGCCTTGAGTTTGTGGGATGGGCACACATTCTAGCAAGAGAAACTGTTGCTATATTGAGATCAGAGAGAGAAAAAAGCTTTATTCCAACTGAGCTCTATTCTCACGGACAAGAATAAAGACTTTCTGTGACCAAATTTGAGACTCATGTATATGTTGCTCTAAAGAATTAAAAAATACATTATATGAAATTCTCAAATAATAAATTAAAAAAATTCCCAAGCATATTTGAACATACTTGGTCTCCTGAGAGTCTTTGTGGGGTCCAATAGTCCAATGCCTTGCACCTGAGCCTTGAATGCATTAGTATCAACTAGAGAAAATATATTATGTAAAACAAGTTGAAAGGCCTCACTGGGGCTATTTTGAGGAACCATGGAACATGCCCCATGAAATAAAGGATTTGTCAGATCCTAGATATGCGAAGATCAAAGAAGATTTTTTAATAGTTGTGATGTTTAATTTTATGTTTCAGTTGTTTGGACCATGGGCTGCCCACAGGTCTAGTAAAATATTCTTCTGAGTGTGTCTGTGAAGATATTTTGGATGAAATTAACATTTGCTTGGTCCAGAGAAAAATGGGTTGTTCTTCCTAATAATGATGGGCCCCACTAAATCAGCTGAAGGGCCGAATAGAAAATAATGACCCTCACCAAGCAAGAGGGAGTCTATCCTTTGTGCTAGGACATTGGATCCCCCCCACCTTTGGATGCAAGCTGAAATATTGGCTCTTATTGGTTTCCCTTTTTTATTTTTCAAAAATATTTTAATTACTTTTTTTGTAATTTCATACAATGTATTTTGATCACATTCACCTCAGCTTCTCCCAGTGACTCCCCCATATCCATCTCTACCTTACCAATACCCAACTTCATTTTATCTTTTCTATGTAATAATCCATGAACTTAAATTTGTATTGCTCATATACTCATGAGTTTAAGGCCATCCACTGGAGTGTGGTTGATTTGCTAGGAGCCACACCCTTAGAGAAAAGTGACTCCCTCCCTCCCTTAGAAGCCATCAACTATTCTAAGCCATGAAACCCTCCCTACATCATGCTAGAATGTGGACTTACTTGACTTTTCAGTTTTCACCCTTATTGTCTTTTGATGGAAAATGACATCAGCTCTTCTGAATCCCTTACAGGACTTGAGACTTTTCACCCTCCTTAACTGGTTTAACCAATTCCTTATAGGACACCTATACTATGTATTCTATAATAAGCACATATATACTATTATACTGTCTTAGTCACTGTTCTATTGCTGAGAAGAGACACCATGGCCAAGGTAATCCTTATAAAAGAAAGCATTTAGTTGGGGGCTTTCTTATAGGTTCAGAGGTTTAGTCCACTATCCTCATGGTGGGGAGCATGGTGGCACACAGATAGGTATGGTGTTGGAGCAGGAGCTGAGAATTCTACATCCTGATCCATAGGCAAAAGGACAAGGGGGGGGACAGTTCTGTGGTTGTGAAACCCCAATGCCCACCCCCAGTGACATACCTCCTCTAACAAGGCCATACCTCCTAATATTTTCAAATAGTTCCTCTCCCTGGTGACTAAACATTCAGACATATGGGGCCATTCTTATTCGAACCACCACATATATTATATATCCTACTATCTTTATGCATTATAAATATATAGTATAGTTCTATATTTCCCATTTATTCTTTTTCTCTGAGAAACTTTATTAGATCTGTTAGGTAAAACCTATGTTATCTTTTATCTGTTCTTCCTCTCTAGGTTCTACCCATGAGCTAACAATCTAGTTGGGAGGAAAGAAGAAGAAAAATATTCATGTTTGCGGAAATGGACACTCCTGGATTAGAAGACAAAAAAACCATTTGGCTCCAGTTCTGCTAAATATTACTTGAGATTTTAAAAAGTGGTCCAACTTTGCTGGAACCTGTGTTTTCAACTCAATGAAATTGGACTTATGTGTTTCTGCCTTGACTCTCTTGGAATTGTTAAAGGGTCTAGAGAGATGGCTCAGTGGTTAAGAGAACTTGCTGCTCTTCTGAAGGACCTGAGTTCTGATCCTGACACTGACAGTGGATGCTCCACGATTGCCTGTAAACTCTAACTCCAGGGTCTCTGACACCCTCTGGTTTATATGGATACTCACATGCATATGACATGCACACAGAGACATACACATAAAATAAAAACAAATATTTAAAACATGATTTGCTAAAAATGAAATCATAAAATTTGCAGGTAAATAGATACAAGTGGAAAATATACTGAGTGAGATACCCCAGATCCAGAAAGACAAATGCTGCCTGTTCTCTCTTATTTGTAGTTCCAAGCTCTGAATCTTTAGATTTGCATATACAACACGAGGTAATCGAATAAGCCAGGGAAGTAGAAAGGGGTCATAGAGAGGGATGAAAAGGGAACTCTAGAATGGGGGAGAGTAGGAGGCCGGTGCAATGAAGAAGTTAATGGGAAAATAGGGAGACTTTAACTGCAGAAGTGGGTAAAAGGTTAATATAGGAAGGAGTGATAAATAACACCAAAGATGCTTGAAAAAGCCATAGAGAAACATATTATAAACTTACTTAAAATGCATACATTCATACATACATACATACATACATGCATACACATGTATATATATGTACATATGTATGTATGCATATGTGTATGTTTTTAATTGAGTTATGCCACATGGGATGATGGTGCTTACCCCAAGAGCCATGCACTATCTAACCTCAGTGCCAGGCATGGGAAACCTCCCCTTAACTTGTTGGTTGGGAGTTTACAACTGTCTCCCAAAACAATATGAACTGTTATCGTTGCTCTTCATTGTCTTCTAGAACTTGAAGGTAAGGGCTGTATTGCTGGATATACCACAGGGCTTCAAAGAATCAAGTTGGAACAGGCCTGGGTGCATCTTTACTGATGACTGGCCCTCATATTACCAGAGGGTACTATGCTAGCTGCCAAGGGAATAGAATAATCAATAGTCCTACACAGTTATGGAGCCTATGAACTACAGCAATGAGTGACCCAGAAAGAAGCTCCCAGTGTTGCAATAGTGGCACTTTTTTCTTGGTAGTAACCAACATCTGTCTAACTGGACTTAAGGCCCACTCAACAGGAGAGAATTAATGACTGGTGCTGTAAACCTAGTCAACTACCCACAGCTAGATAATTTATAAACCCTAAAGGAAAACATATTACAGCCATTTTCCTAACTAATATAATACCTAACTATAATTTAAGTACTTATCCTTATGCCCACATATAAGTGTAGCTCTCACTCATCATCAAAGAAGCTTCTTCTCCTCCTCCTCCTTCTCCTCCTCCTCTTCCTCTTTCTCCTCCTCCTCCTCCTTCTTTTTAAACAAATGGCGACTATTGCAAAGATCTACAACAGGTCAAAATGTAGAGAATAAGAGACCTTGGGGGGCTAACTCCCAACGAATATATCTACAATGCCACCTCTACACCTAAGACTCAGGGAACATTGCATAAAAGGGGATGGAAAGATGACATGAGCCAGAGGACCAGGACACCTGCTGTGAGACAGTGTTCTCTAGAATGCCAGGGAAAAGGGAAAATTCACCCATATTTTCTCAACAGTATGGTTGCCTGAACAAGATGGGCATACTGGTATCAATTGATATGCCAACATGGACAGGAGAAATTTCACAATATCCCACTCCTAGATGAACTATGGGTGCTCAATGGATACTGAGAGGAGAATCAGTTTCCTCCAGGGACACACACACACACACACACACACACACACACACACACACACACACAGAGTATCTGTATTACATATGTAATATATAATATATGTGTGTATTATATATCTAATAACTAAAAGAGGCCATGAATTTGGGAGGGGGAAACATGGAAGGATTTGAAAGGAGAGGGAGGAGTGGGAGTGATGTGGATACAGTGCTCATGTATAAAGTTCTAATAAAATATTTTTAAAGCCATTAAAATGATCAAAAGAGCTATTGTATATGAGCAGTGAACGTGCCAAGGCTGTGTACATATGAGTTCTTATGTTTTAAATTTGAGATGTCCCTGATGGATTCACATTTTTCATGTTTAGTCCCCAGCTTGTAGTGCAAATATGAAGGCTGTGGAACCTTTGGGGGATCATCCTGGCTTGCAGACATAGGCCTCTAGGAGTGGGCGCTTGAAGGTTTAACCAGTCTGCCATCTCTGCTCCTGATCCACTATTGTGTCAGCACATGTTCCCATCATCATTGACTGACTGAGCTGCTCTGTTTGGCCTTCTCTGTACAATAGACTATGATCCTCACAAACTGTGAACCCAAATAAACCTAGGTATTTTGTCTCAGTGATGATAAAAGCAACTAATATACAAGGTATTTCTGTGCCTTGATTTCAGAAGAACAAAAGTTCTTCTGGCTTTCCTCAAACTGCCTTCACCTATGGATTAATATGGTGCTTTCTCAGAAAATTGGGAATCAATCTCCCCCAAGACCCAGCTATACTACTCTTGGGCACATACCCAAGGAATGCTCAATCATACCACAAGGGCACTTGCTCAGCTATATTCATATCAGCATTGTTTGTAATAGCCAGAACATGGAAACAACCTAGATGCCCTTCAACTGAAGAATGGATAAATAAAATGTGGTACATATACACAATGGAATACTACTCAGCAGAGAAAAACAATGACATCATGAGGTTTGCAGGCAAATGGATGGATCTAGAAAAAATCATCCTGAGTGAGGTAACCCAGATTCAGAAAGACAAACATGGTATTTACTCTCTTATAGGAGGATACTAGATGTAAAACAAAGATGACTAGACTGCTACTCACAACTCCAGGGAGCTACCTAGAAAACAGGACCCCAAGAAAGACACAGGGATCACCCAATGACAGAGAAATGGATGAGGTCTACATGAACAACCTGGACGTGAGTGGGGTAATGAAGGGCGAGGGTTGAGGGAAAGAGAGCTTAAGGGAGTGGGAGATCCCAGCTAGATCAAGAACAGAGAGGGAGAACAAGGAATAAGAGACCATGATAAATGAAGACCACATGAGAATAGGAAGAAGCAAAGTGCTAGAGAGGCCCACAGAAATCCAAAAAGATACCCCCACAACAGACTGCTGGCAATGGTCGAGAGACAGCCCGAACTGACCTACTCTGGTGATGGGATGGCCAAACACCCTAATTGTTGTGCTAGAAACCTCATCCAATGACTGAGGGGACCGGATGCAGAGATCCATGGCCAGGCCCCAGGTGGAGCTCCAGGAGTCCAGTTGGTAAGAAAGAGGAGGGATTGTATGAGCGAGAATTGTTGAGACCAAGATTGGGAAAAGCACAGGGACAAATAGCCAAACGAATGGAAACACATGAACTATGAACCAATAGCTGAGGAGCCCCCAACTGAATCAGGCCCTCTGGATAAGTGAGACAGTTGATTAGCTTGAACTGTTTGGGAGGCATCTAGGCAGTGGGACCAGGACCTGTCCTTAGTGCATGAGCTGGCTGTTTGGAACCTGGGGCTTATGCAGGGACACTTGGCTCAGCCTGGGAGGAGGGGACTGGACCTGCCTGGACTGAATCTACCAGGTTGAACTCAATCCCCAGGGGAGTCTTTGCCCTGGAGGAGATGGGAATGGGGGGTGGGCTGGGGGGAAGGCGGGGGGGGGGGGGAGGGGGGAGGACAAGGGAATCCATGGCTGATATGTAAAATTAAATTAAATTAAAGTATAAAATAAAATTTAAAAAAAAGACAATTAGGTCAAAAAGACTTAAATTATCCTTGTAGGATAGGGACAAATGAATATTAACTTAACATCAACTATTTGACATGGTGTAGGGTGGGTAATTAACAGAACTAATTCCATTAATCATTATAACATTTCTAGTTTCATATGTGCTATTATCTCTCTTTGACAGATAAGTAGCCTGAAGCTCAGAGTGTTAGTTAACTTTCCCAAGATCACGCACTTAGCGAATATCAGAGGCAAGGCTATAACTAATGCCTGCCTCACTCTTAAATCTGTTGCTTAACTATCAATTCATTTTGCCACCTAAATTTGGTGCATGCTAAATTTTAATTTTCCGTTAGAGGAATACCCAAATCTCAATCAGTCAGTGTCAGACAGCTGAATGTGAATGAGTTTGTGAACTGCTTCTCTGCAATCATGTTTCAGTTGGTGTTACAGATGGAATCATAGGGCACTGGGTATTACTCAGGGGTCTATGGCATTAAAAAAAGCACAAGATGTAGTAGAAAGAGCAAAGACACTGGCGAACTGTTACAACTGTCTTTACATTCCCATTTGGTCATACAGCTAATGTGACTTTGAGAAATTTCTTTAGCTTAGTTGAAATAGATGAGAATACCTTGAAGAGTTTTTAAGGAGTGAGGTGATATTTATGAGATTGGAATTTGATATTTTGTTTTGTCAAAATTTTCTGTCCTTTGAGAGAGTGTCTTCTCTTATTTTGTGTGATCTTGGTGGAGGTATTCATCACGATACTTCCAATCCTGCTCTAGTGTTAATCACACACACACACACACACACACACACACACACACACACACGCACACTCTAATCTGGACATTTTATAGAATCTATCTACTGCCAACAGTTGTTGGTAGAGAGGTAGGCACCAGTTCTAAACAGTGCCAAACAGATGCCTTGTCTGCATTGATTTTTGGATGCTGGGAGGAACATAAACTTTTATTTTTCCTGTTTGTGTCTAAATTGGGAGCACATGGGCAGTCATTTTCCCTTGTATGTGGAGAGATTCTGTCAAAAAGTGAGCCAACTGCCCAGAAGAGAGTTGAGAGGAACAAAGCATGCTCTTGGGTCTATCTGTGTCTGAGGCAGGCTATCTCGTAAATGTTCAAATTTATGAGTCCCTGTGTTTCTTGAACAGTTTGAATTGCATTGCTCTCAAACAAACAGAAAAACATCTTGAGTTATGCATTGATCTAATACATATCAATGCATATTGCCTAATTAATACATGTGATGAGAAAGTTGATTGAAAACATATATCTCAAGCTTTTTCCTGCCCCAAATGGGAACAAATACAGAGATCCATAGTCAGACATTATACAGAGTTAGAGACCTTGGAACACTGAGCCCTAAAAGGGAGGCCTTCCCTGGAGGTGGGAATGGGGGGTGGTTTGGGGGGGAAGTCTGGGGGGTGGAAGGAGGGAGGACGGGGGAATCGTGGCTGATATGTGAAATTAAGTTAATTATAAAATAAAAATATTAAATAAAAATAGATTTTGATGAAAAAAAGGAGGCCTTCATCAAATACCTTCTCTCATGGAACCCTGTGGGAGAGAAGGCAGAAAGAGTGTCCAAGCCGGAGGGGATGGAGGACACGAAGAAAACAAGGCCTCTAAATCAACAAGACTGATGCACATATGAACTCAGAGAGGCTGGGAGAGCATGCACAGGGCCTGCACAGGGCTCCATCGCTAACCCAGAAGCAATCTTCAGTTGATAACCACTTGCAAATGAAAATTTAGTTTTCTACAAAGGAGTCTCACTGGGGAAACAAACTACTCTTAAGGGTAGGCTGCATGCCCAGCAGCAGATGCCAACAGAAAATGAAATCAATGCCATCTTTGGAGGTTTCTTGTCTCATAATATAGTGTCAGGGATTCCCACATATTTAATTATCTTATGTTTTATTTTTATTTTGTTTACTTTTATATATTTAAAACATTTTTTCTCTCTTTTTGACCTACGGGTCTTTTGTGTATATATTATGGCTTCCAGCTGAGTGTTTTTTAAAATGGGATTCCTGAGTGTGAGAACAAGTGGGTCTCTGCATGTATATCTATTTCTTATGCCTTTTCCTGAGACTCTTTCCTTCTGTTTGTTTTGTCTTTGTTTTATTTCATCTTATCTTATCTTATTATTACCCTTAGAAGTCTGTTTTTTAAAATTATTTATTTACTTATTTTATATCCCAGCCACAGTTTCCCCTTTCTTCCTTTCCTCCCCATCCCTCCCCACCACCCTACTCTGTTCCCACCCCCAATCCACTCCTCCTCTGTTTTGGTTCAGGAAAGGACAGGTCTCCCATGAGTATCAACAAAATATGACATATCAAGTTGCAGTAAGACTAAGCATGTCCCCATGTATTAAGGCTGAGCAAGTCGATCCAGTATGAGGAATAGGGTCCCAAAAGTCAGGATAAGAGTTGGAGGCAGCCCCTGTTCCCACTGTTAGGAGTCCCACAAGAGGACCAAGCCACACAATTGTAACATATATGCAGAGTGCCTAGGTCAATCTCATGCAGGCTCCCTGGTTGTCAGTTCAGTCTCTGTGAGCCCCTATGAGCCCAGGTTGGTAGATTCTGTGAGTTTTCTTGTGGTATCCTTGACCCCTCTGGCTCCCACAATCCTTTATCCCCCTCTTCTGCAGGATTTCCTGAGCTCTACTAATGTTTGCTTGTGGGTCTGCAAGAAGCCTGTTTTCTAATGAGAGAGAGAAGGGAGTGGATCCAGATGGGCAAGGAAGTAGGGAGTAGTTGAGAGGAGTAGAGGGAGGAGAAACCATAATCAGCTATGTTATGTGAGAAAAAAATCTGTTTTCAATAAAAGGAAAAAAAGAAAACGTATCACATATGCATTTGAAGGTACATGGTTTTCTTAGTTTGCTTAAGATGCCCATTTATTACTCAATAAATGTGATTGAGTATAAAATGAAAGTAAATAACTTACTGTTTTTAACACTCAAAATAGAATGGTATACAGAAAAATAATTTGAGAACTAGACATTATCAAGTGGAGTTTTCTAAATTATCTAATATCCTCCTTTAGCATATCATGATCCAGTCTTGGTGATATAGGATGTGAAATGGGCAAAAAAGCCCTTTCTTCAAGGTCTACAATTTGAGAAGAACTCAGAGAGTAAAGAGCAGCCATATATGCACCTCAGTTTCTCCTACTCACCCTGTGATATTTTCTGAGCCAACATAGAGTGCCTTAGCATAACTAAGTGGGTAGAAAGTGTAGCAAGACAGAAAGATCTACCACCTTGGTTTCCAGTGGTACAGGAACTATGTTTAGAACTATTACATTTGAAGTGAGGTTCTTTGAAGCAGAAGGAATGCTTGTAATATTCTGTGTGGTCCAGACAACCAGAAGAAAGATATGGGAAAGAGTCCAAGCCCAGCAGCAGCTACAAAGAATATTGCACTATGTGTGCCAGGAAGTCTTGCCTGTAGAGCATAAAGAATTGATGTTATAAATTGGACAACAACTCTGCTTGGCTGTCAGTGAGCTGAGAGAAGATGCTAGAAGCATCAAAGAGTAAAACTATTGGCAATCAGCTTGGCACAAAGAAAGTTGAAACTGTTTTTTGA